GAAAGGACAAGTTCCTCTGCGTCCATGTTGAGGATGGCAGTGCCCTGCTCCCCTGCATTCTCTGGCTGAGCCACCTCTATCTCAGCCCTAATCCATCAGTTGCTTTTTAGGATGGCAGTCGAACAGGCGGAGGAGGTGGCTTTGGGGAAATTGATGACTATTAAGAGGGAGGATCACTGAGTATAGAGGGGGTCAAGCAGATCACTGTGTCCAATTTGAGGGTGTCAAAGAGGACCCGAATGATGAGATTCTTCACTGGTTGCAGTGCATCAAGTTGGGGAAAGAGTCTTACAATTTGCGACCGCCACTCAGTTCGAATTCGTTATCCTGATGAACATGGGGCTTGCGGTTAAGTTTAGAGTTAATGGTGGAAGAGCGAAGCAGAAATTGAGCACTCGCACCTCACTTCCCCCTCTCTCACGAAAGCACTTTTCTCTGTTACTTCCTAATCTAAAACAAAGATGGATGCAGATCTGAGAGAAAATGCATATCAAACCTTTTTTCTCTCTAGTCTCTAGTTAATGGGTAGAGGGAAGGAAACTGGGGCACCAGTGAGAGCGCCGGTTTTCCCTCGGTCTTAATGCGCAATCTCAACCGTTGAAATGCTTCAACGGTGGAGATACCTCTACGGCTACGGATGCATCCGTATGCCTATTGCACCCCACCCTTTCCTTTATTTTTTGCCCACTCAATCTTTGCGTAGGCCGAGATGATACATAAAATTTTGGCGGCGGATGCGTCTAAATTGTTCTTTGCAGGTTCTGTAGAGAGAGAAGAAAGACTGTAGAGAGAGAGAGAGACGGCAGCATTTCGAAATCAGTAGCGATTTTGTCTCGTGCAGTGAGCCCCGTACACGACGTCTTCTTCAAACTTCTTGACCAGCGGCCAGAGAAAGCGAGACGTAGAGAGAGAAAGTGGGGTTCCGAGAGAGAGAGAGAGATGGTGGCCTTTTCCAGGATGTAAATCCTGTCATCGTTCTCCGCCTGGAGATTCTGCACCATTCTTGCGTGTCAAGTCTCTGGAGTATGCTTACGCACGCACGTCTTTCTCTCTCTCTCTCTAATTCTGTCTCTTGCGCCGTTAATGCAAGAGCAGCCGATCAAAGGCGTACTTTGCATTGTTGGACCTTCTCTTTCTACTTTCCGCCAGCCTTGCGGCCCCATTTACTCCTTTCTCTCTCCTCGTAAAAAAGTCCGATTTCCTCTCTCTCCTCTTTCTCTCTCTACAAATAAATTTTGATTTGACCAACTCAATCAGTTCAAATAACGGATTTCATGACGAGGGCTCTACTTCTCTTTCTAGATTCCTTTCAGCGATCATTTTTCTTCGATTGCCTCGCCTGCAACTGTCCCTTTTTCTCTCTCCAGGATTAGGAATTCTGCGGGCCATGGGCAAGGCAGACGGACGGCTGCCGGAAACTCCTTTTTAGTCCGACACACTAGCCCGCACCGCCAGCCAGTACGAAAAGCCCGTACAACGAGCCCGACCCGCACCTAGAGCTCGCACGAGGAGCCTGCACGAAGAGCCCGCACCATCCACAAGCCCGCACGAAGAGCCCGCACCAATCTACATGCCCGCAAGACGGGACCTCACCAACCACGGGCCCGCACGACAAGACCGCACAAACCAGAAGCCCGCACAAAGGGACCGCACCATCCATAGGCCCGCACGAAGAGACCGCACCATCCACAAGCCCGCACGATGGAACCGCATAAACCAGAGGCCCGCACGAAGGGACCGCACAAACCAGAGGCCCGCACGAAGAGCCCACACAAACCACATGCCCGCACAAAGAAACCGCACAAACCGCATGCCCGCACGAAAGAGCCCGCATTTCCACAAGAACGCACGAAGAGACCGCACCTTCTACATGCCCGCATGAAGAGACCGCACCACCCACATGCCCCGCACGTCGAGACCGCACCATCATCTACAAGCCCGCACGAAGAGACCGCACCTTCTACATGCTCCGCACGAAGAGCCCGCACAACACCCACATGCTTGCACGAAGAGACCGTACAAAACACCCACATGCTTGCACGAAGAGACCGTACAAATCCACATGCCCGCAAGAAGAGACCGCGCGTTCCATATGCCCGCACGAAGAGCCCGCACCTTCCACATGCCCGCACGAAAGAAACCGCACCATCAACATGACCGCACGAAGAGCCCGCACCATCAACATGCCCGCACGAAGAGGCCGCATCATCCACATGCCCGCACGAAAGAAACCGCACCATCAACATGCCCGCACGAAGAGCCCGCACCATCCACATGCCCGCTCGAAGATCCTGCACAAACCACATGCCCGCACGAAGAGCCCGCACCCCCACGAGGAGCCCGTACCAACCTCAGGTCGGCACGACGGCCCGCGCGCGTACGGGGAGCCCGCACGATGTTACCGAACGACGAGCCCGCACTAAGAGCCCGCGCGATGAGGCCGCACCAAGAGCCCCGCACCAACCGCAAGTCAGCTCATTATGGCCAGCCAAACGACTGCGGCAGCTCCTTTTGGCGTCATCGAAGTGCGAGAGATCTTGGAATCTGCATATACGGATGGGAGCATTAAACTTTATAAATAAAGATATTTGAAACATTTTTCGATAGTATTTGAAAGTAGGGTCTAATTTGATTGATTGTTTAGTGCCAAGGCTCTATACAAACCTCACCCATAAATACTTCAGATTTTTTTGGGTATCTCTTTCAATGTATCCGCAATAAATAATCTTCAAAAGACAGTTACATTTTCATCTTTATTCATTTCATTAGAAGATCAACCTTGATATATATCATTTAGAATATGTGGAGTGTAGCATCAACTGGCAGCTGCTGCGATGAACTATTTCCTACCCCTCAAGTCTTTTATTTTTGAACTAAAGACGCGTGCTGCAGACGGGTTCATCTCAACAATGAACGGTTGAGATTAAATCCAAGCAAAGAGTTTCTATGAGTATTGATATCATTATATCATGATAAGAGGAAAAATTATATATACCCCTTTGCCATACGATCTGGTACACCTTAATACATTTTAAACCGCATAACTAAAACCTAGTTATTGTTTGTTTTTGCAGACATCCCAAGGGAAGAACGCATTTTCTTTTCCATGAAAGTACCCCATGTATAAACCCACATATCTCTCTCTAAAACTTGAAATTTTAGAGAGTGTATCTCAAAAAATTTAAAGAGAAAATGTAACTCAAATTTTTAGTCAAAAAACGAGGGAAAAATTAATTTTTATACTGATTTTATTATGCTAATTATCATTTTTGTGTGTGATTTTGTCTCACACAAAAATTGGGCCTCTCTTTCTCGCTTTCTCATACATACGCACACATGTAAAGCACATTGGATATCTCTCCATACACATACAAAAATATTGGACATCTCTCTCTTTACACACATACAAATATACAAACACATTCGACATGGGAAAGGTGTCTATACTTCTCCTACGGTATAGAAGATCTATGCTTCTCCTACCATCCAATTTTGATCACGAGAGCTGCTCACCGTTTGATCTTCGATCCGATGTCTCAAAGTATTTTATTTTTAGTTTTTTTATATAAATTGTATGAATAGAAAATTTGGTACGTGCCATCTTCTCATTGGAGCACACCAATAAAAAATATTAAAAATAAAATATTGATAAAATATAATGAACAAAATATCCCTTGAATCTTTCAGGGGTATTTTGGTCATTTTATTTTATAATTATTTTATTATATAAATAAATAACCAATCCAAAATATTTTATAATATCATATAATTTAAAATATATTATTGACAAC